AGGTTGCAGTGAGCTATGATCAGGCCATCTCACTCTACCCAGGGCAACAGAGTGAGACGCTGTCTCTTAAACAAAACAAAAAAAACACAAAACACTTTTAGGTTCCATTTGAGGGGATGTCATAGCAGTGTGTTTTATTTAAATGAAACTGCACTTTCAATCAGCCAGTCATGGCTAATGATTCAAAACTTTTGGAACCACTTAATATAAGCCAATTCCAGCAAAATATTTGCTCATAGGCAGAAGTATATATTGGTGCATGATTAGTTTGACTTTACTAAAACAGGGAACCTATAAGACTTAAAATTATTTCAAAGCTAGTTAATTCAATTAATACATATTTATGGATACCCTGTGGTATCAAAAATTCAGATCTTGATGGAGATCATACGCACATGTATGAAAACCTTTATGTGAAGTTATTTGTGTATATAGAACAGTCTTACTCTCTCAGAACTTATAATAAGCAGAAGGAGCAAGTTTAGAAGCTACTAAAACTTGAGAGTCGGGAACCTTTGCTTGAATAAGGCCTGGGAGGGACCCTAGCAACTTTGTATTCATAATTTTGCACTTTTTAAAAAAAGGACCTTCCAAATTGTGTAAGATTCAGACTCCACAAAGGCTGGATCCACTCTTAAAAAAGGAGAGTGAGAAAATTAGTAAAACTTCACATATTCATCCTAAAGAGTCCTATAGATGGTTCACTGATGACACAAAGCATATTTGAGGCTTTTTAGGGACCTCAGGGATGAAACTGGTGGTCTGTTGTCCAAATATTTTTCATGTCTTTGAAATAGCTGCTCTCTCAGAGAACTGGAAGTGATGTGACGAACAGACAGTTAAAAAATGTTAGGAAAGATACTGGTGCTGGAGATGGAAACTGGTCACCATCAGCCATTCATGGTATTTAAGACAATGGAGAAGGAAGTCAGGTGTGATAGAGACTTGAAAATAGACCTCCTTACATTTGGCTATTAGTGGCTACTAGTGTGTTGGAGCATTGTAAATACAGAGATAAGGATGAGAGACATAGGTAGTTAAGAGCTAACAACTGAAGTGCATGCGTTGTTTTCCTTCTTAGGGGACCCAGTTAAAATGACAGTAATGGGTTGGGGGGTGGTTTACTTCTGGTCACAGCAAAGGAGTGAAGTGGGCATATGAACCCAGAGGAGAAAACAGTTATAAAAACTAGATTTAAAAGGAATAAAGACACTGTAAAGCATCCAAAAACAGAAGCTGGAAGAAAGTTTAATGTCAAAAATCTGCACATGAAAGAGATAAGAACTGTGATTTTACAATTTTTTTGGGCCCAAGGTTCTGTCTATCCCCACAGCTGCAGTTACAAAAAACAGTAATGGGAAAAACCCTCAGCATCAACACCTGAAAGCACCAGAGTTCTGAGTTCAGGGCTGGTAAAGGGAAAAGGGGGCATGTTCATAGTATATAAACTGTAGGAGTGAGACACAAATTTGGAATAT